TATGCAAGTACTTACAACTGGTGATTGGGAACTGGACATAACCGAGAAGGGCGGATATGCTGTATAAAAGGATGTGTCGAGGAAATGGAAAAACGTTTACGAGATGAGGAGACTCATCGGTGTGTCATATGATGGCATTGGTGGAGTACAACATTTGAGAGATTATTGGAATTCAGAGCTAGAGTCGTCTTCCGTCTTCCTAAAGCCTACCTTTGCTAGAGTCTTTGCGGAAAGGGTCCCTTTTGTTAATATATGTTTAATATATATGAAAAAAGAGTGGGGTTTCCAAAATCTAGTGTAAGATGAATAGTGGACAGCTTGTCGAATCCGAATCAAAATCGGAGCGACAAAGAGGTGCTAAAGTGGAAAAGTAAGATGATTACTACGCTCTCCACAGCTCACAGCGGGTCACCTTCCACCAACTCTTCAAAACCGGAAGTAAGAGCTGCAACCAGACGAAACTTTCATGGACGCAATTAACCAGGTGACGACCTATTATTTACTTGTTAGGAGCTGGAAAACGACCTCGTCCAGAAAGGCTTGCAGAATATTAATTATAGAAAAAAGTTTTTCAAAAGTTGCTCCTGATATTAGGTCTAAGTTTGACAAACGATCTGGGTAACAAAAACTGCTTTAAAAAACTACCATATAACAGATCTAAATACAACTTGGTGACGGCCAGTCTAATTTCGCTGCTGTATTTAAATGCTTCTTCATTAAGAACGTCAGCGTCGGCTGTGCTCATAGCGCGAGATCGGATCATTAAGGAACAACTCCTGCCATCATATGTGTTGAAGTGAGTACAATAAAGTGATAATCAGAAATAAATGAACTATTAGCATTGCACTTAGTAGAAACGTAGTGAAAAATATAATGGGCATTAATGTCATGTGTTCCGTGTCCGGAAAACCCTGATTTTATTTTTATCCTTATTTGTTATTTTCCGTGTTTTTTTTCCTTATTGTTTTGACTGTTTTTAACAAACAAACAATTGAGTATTATCCTACGGTAAAGGCTTCGTCATGACGCAGATTCAGTCAAGGTTTTCAGACGATGCTATAGGCCGATGTTTTCAGCTTTACAATAGGATTCGATAACTGCGATACGAGGCAAGCCTTGGGAATATCTACAGAGATGATTCGCGATCGAAATGTCGATGTTATTATCGGGCCTAGTTGCGCTTTAAGTAAGTAACATTGACGATAACTATATAACGGAGTAATTAGTGACCCAGGGCAACTCTTGAAGAGATTTTTTTTTTTCTTTGTCTCGCACTAAACGACCTAGCAAATCCAGTCTGTTTCGGGTTTTGATGTAGTATTTATTAATATCCATACACTGACCGTGTTCAACAGTGCTGGCTGTGTTTTCATTTTTTCACGTGTCGTCCATATTTCGAAGGCATGTACTAAAAAGCAAGAAGCACGAAAATGTAGAAATGGGCACGTCTTTTTTCTGTTTCATCCCGATGCTTCTCAAAATTTGTCCAATTAACCCAGCTGCTGAATTTTGGCTTTATTTGGTTATAATCATAAAACAAAATGGGTGTACAGAGCTTTAAGTTGTGGAAACGGTATCACCATTGAGACGAACAACGAGACCTATCTCATGATTCTCCTATTTCACTGTATTTGACGTGGTTCTAGAATGACGGTATTCCGGCCATGAAATTGTTATATAAAGGATTTATGATATTGCCGTAGCCTCGAATTGTGGAAGGTTTCCATTGTTGGCTCCATATGAACCAGAAGCTTTTCTCGAGTTGGTAAAAGCAATACGTGGAAAGCATCTTGTGTTCCTACAGTTATACGATTAGAGACTATTAGTTTGACTGAGAATCATGCATCCTCATAGACTTGCAAAAGACAAGCGAGCGTGTTAGCAAAAAATAGCGGTAAGTTCCTCAGGTGTCTGGATCCGATCCTAGAACGAGGTAGCAGGTCTCACTTCGGGAAGGTAAATCTTTACAACTTACTTCTTTGACATAAAACTAGGCCAACGTGACTACGGAAAACGTCGAAGTGGAAGCCTTGAACGATTACTCTCATAGCCCTTTTAGATGCACTGAGTGCATTATTAACCATTCTTCCTCAGTGGAAGGCACGTTAAAAACGGCTCTGAAGAAGGCGATACTGCCGAGACGTGAGCTATTGTTGTATTGTATGGAAGTATATGTATGCCATATGTAATCCAACGCAGAGGTTAATGGAAAGTCGAACCTGGGGTCTGCGACGCTCAAGCGGATTCGAGATAAATATCTTTTAGAGAATTTCAAGCTTTCATGTTTTTTAGCGCAACCATGAAGGCAATGTGTACGGCGGTGATATTCTCGATGTTTTAGACAATGGCTTGTAAGATAGGGAAAACGTTCGACAATATTTGACGTGCTCTCGTTCGTTTTTGCGCTTTCCAGTTCGATACCTACGCACAACATTTATGGCGTCTTCAGAAAGTAGCACTTGGTAAAAGTGTCCGTAATAGCTATGACAAACTGAAATGGATGTTCGTTCACGTTACTCATCTCACTTTACCCGAGGGACGAGAATTTCTCCAAAAATTACCAAGAGTTTTGAGGCCAGTGATGATCTTACGGAACGTATAATCTTCTTTGTAGAGCTTCTCTAAAGTCGAATATAATTCCTTAACTTCGTAGTTATAATTGCTTGATATTTGGATATGAACGAGGAACATTGCCAAATCCAGCATTGAACCACATCATTCCAAACGTATTTGTCCCATTAAGAACTTTTAGTTGTTCAAAGGAATCAACCTTGTGTTGATAAAGACACTAACGCCTTATTTTTATTTACTATCGTCTATTCCTTAGAAATTTCCTCTTACGTATCATAAACTGTGGTTCCAGCTCATCTCACCAGTTCAATGCTATCGTACTTTGCCCTTCTAGCGTTCATCAATGACACCTTAGGTGGAAATGTGCATAGGTTTCAAGTGCATACCATTAGCTACATTATCATTAGCACAGTTTTGCATACTTTTGGAAGTGTAAACTGACCCAAATGTTTTTGAGGCCTCTATCCTGTGAGGTTTAACGCGTCTTTGAGTAAGGGAAAGAGGCCCATTAGTTTTGCCATTGTTGGTTGATAACGCCTATAGGAACATTACCGACTTTTGGTGTAGAGCTCGCTACACTCACAAGTGTGTTGACATAATGTTTAACGTTTTGTTTTCTGCCTTCTATAATTTTCATGGCAGGTTACTAAGTAAGCGAAATACAACCACAACGTTGCTGAGATATTTGCAAAACTCTGGACCGCAGGTGTCTATGGTGGGGAACGAACGCGCTATTGTCCTTTCCGGGGAGTAGCGCGTTCACTACCACACCATGCAGGTCCTTTGTTTCGCCTGTCTCTCAGCTATTTCTATCGATCTTTGCCACAGCAATCACCCGTCAGCGGGATTGATCTGGAACGCCCAAATCGGCATAGAACCCCGTTAAGCTGCGGGCAGATCAATCCCGCTGACGGGTGATTGCTGTGGCAAAGATCGATAGAAATAGCTGAGGGACAGGCGAAACAAAGGACCTGCATGGTGTGGTAGTGAACGCGCTACTCCCCGGAAAGGACAATAGCGCGTNCTCAGCTATTTCTATCGATCTTTGCCACAGCAATCACCCGTCAGCGGGATTGATCTGGAACGCCCAAATCGGCATAGAACCCCGTTAAGCTGCGGGCAGATCAATCCCGCTGACGGGTGATTGCTGTGGCAAAGATCGATAGAAATAGCTGAGGGACAGGCGAAACAAAGGACCCGCATGGTGTGGTGGTGAACGCGTTACTCCCCGGAAAGGACAATAGCGCGTTCGTTCCCCACCATAGACACCTGCGGTCCAGAGTTTTGCAAATATCTCAGCAACGTTGTGGTTGTGTTGACATACTTTACTAGAGTTTACATTAGTTCATGCTTATAATTCATATGTAGAACTCTTTGACACCGGAAGGTATGGCAGTGACTCGTTCTATCTAAAACTTCCATTCTGCAGTCCTAACAGCAATGACTGGAATACCAAGGTCTAGATAGTTCGGTATGTGTTAGTCAACTGATGTGAAAGAACTCGAGCCATCTTTGTGAGCTAGACGTTCTGTGAAGGTATTCTTCAAATTTCAATGATGATTTCGAAAGTGTGGAAAGGCAGAACACGGATAGGATGAAGTGATGAACGGTTCATTGACAAAATGTCTCGGTAATATTGACGACGGTGGTTTGGTACTGGGAAGCCGATGCTTTTAGTAAATGAGAACTCGAAACCGAAGTGTGTTTATCATTCTCGTTGTTCTGCTTTATAACCCCGCGCCCTCATAAATCTAGTTTTTGGGTGAGACCTTCATTGTACTACAATTTACGGGAATGTAGTAGACTTAAAAGTCGTTCGAAATTAAAAGAATAAAGCTTCTCAATATGACGAATCTCTATGGACCATTGTACCCAACTGTTTTTCTTTGTGTTTCGTGGCTGAATTCACTTGTAAGACATAATTCGAACATTGTTATAGACCTATATAAGTAAATGCATATATGCTGACGACATGAGACAACTTCTTCACTTGGCTTTCTTTCATGCATCATCCAATGTTGAGATTGTTCCAGCTGCCTCAGTAGCAGCAATTAATGCAGCCTATTACAACACTCCGATATTTACATGGGGATTGAGCGTCTCGCATTCTCTTAGCGATATGTCACACTGTCCGACCGTTGCTGCACTTTCTGGTAATTCGTACAGGTGATTTACGCCAGAGTATTTTTCTAATAGCTTTATTTTTTATATACAGTATTTTTTATACGGAGTAGCTTTGAGTGAAACCAAGAAGAACATGGCTGGTCGTTTTAACAACGTTTTAAGAACAAGATTCAAAAACCAGTCGACTAATGCTCTTCAGTGGAAAAGCCGCTAATGCAATAGATTGCCTCGTTGAAAAATCGAAATTGAAAAGGCCTTCACCATTGTTTGTTCGGTATTGCGACATTATACTTAGGAATTAGCAAATGAACTTCAACGATTTTCCATACAGTCTCGGAATTGCGATCAAAACCGTGATGATGTCCTTCGGATGGAAGCAGTTCGCGTTTGTCTACTCCAATCAAGACGATGCTCAGAAGTGTTCCATTATGAAGAATGATATGCAGATAAGTTTTTGAAAGTATTACCTGGCTGTGGAACACTTCCTTTCGCTAAACAGTTGCGAGACTGTTTCCTTATATTTTCTTGTAGAACTGTGAGAATATTTAATTTGTGACCAGTTTCTTTTAAGATGTAAAGCACCAAAAACCGTTTTCGTCTTGTTAGATCTAGGAACGTAGAACAACTGGAAAAACTATATTGAATGTTGGAAAGAGAATATTCAAGAGATTGAACTAATTACGTCTCCTTTAAATTGCACACACACCCACACACGTTGAGTTCGCCTTCCGATCATCAAAGTCGAGGGAAGAAAACAGAAGGTAGAGAGGCGAAACAAGAAATTATTATTTGGTCAAATAGCGCTCGGCACCTCTAACGTTATCTTATCGTTAATGAATGTTCTGAACGTATATGTTGCCCAGACCTGTGGTGCTTATTTCCGCTATTAGCAGCTCATTTGATTCATGATGATATTGTAATCCGGATTAACCTGCAATAACTGCGTTGCGACACCACCCGACGAGAATGAAGAGCGCCTGAATCCTTAATACATCGCCATCACCAGTTCGATCCCTGACTGCAATCGTGAACAGTCAAAGCTTTAGAAATGCATCCAGTACACTTCTTAGCGCATCAAGTAATTTGCGTCAAATTTAGAAAGGTGGTACTACGATGTATTGGAGTAGTTTGGCAAGCTCAAAGTTCTATTTATTCCAGAAAACTAGAAAATTCCAAACGCTGTTTGCAACAATTCCAAAATTCTTCTATAATATCTGAAATAGCTCATTGTTTAAGCCATTAAAGGCGCTAGGGCAATTGCACACTTTCAAATAATAGGCAATAATTTCGAAAACTATCCATCATTTCTCGTGTTCCGCAAATTATTGATGGTGCTGAGTTCACCACCAATATTATCGAGAAGCTTGCAGGATGCATTCTCTGAAACGGACGACATTATCATCACAATAATTGTCGAACTGAAAAAAGTCGCACAGCAAGAGGTTACCAAAGCTCTTGGAGAAGTCAGTTTACGAGCCAGAAGTGAGAATTTTTAGCGAAATTCTGCCAGAAGTGAAGAATTGTATTCAAAATTAACACCGATAGAGGCATTTTGATAAGAATTTGTTGCTTCCTTTTCTGTAATAGCCGAGGCAAAATTATTCACGAAATAACGCATTACATCGGGTTTTTCCTTAAAAGTGGTTCGCGATCCTAAAGAAACCCTTCAGAGAAAGAGATAACTGCTTATACCTTAAACTAATTTTAAAGAGACCAACAGAAACGGCTAATCAGGGTTTGTTGCCTTTTTAAGATACCGACCGTACGGTGCTCATTGTTGACTGGAGGACGTCTGATTGTATTTTCATGAAGTACTGCATATTTTCAGTCATTGTGGTTTGCCTAGCCGAAGGTTACGGTAATAAGAGAACGTTCATCCTAGCTGCTAAGGACGGCGGATTTCTCAACAAAGAATACATTTACATGTTCGCCGACACAAAATCGAAAGGATTTTGTGAGAAATCCTTAATACAACTTTATTTAGCACTATTTTAAAACGTTTTCTGCGTTGTTTTGACTTAAGGGAGAGAATACGAAGTCAAAACATAGGAAAAGTTCTAAGCATCTCTTATAAAAAAAGATGTAATTTAGTAAATTGAAGTGGTAGATAATAATTTCAGCTATTCCTTTGCCAGGGGGAAAGGAAAGGTCAATATGGGAAGATATACGAACTCCGAACGATGGCAGAGACGCAGATGCGATGAAAGCTTTTGGAGAAACGGCAGTGATATCAGATGTGAGTACGCCGTAAGAAAATTCAGCAATTGTAAATACGAACATATGTGGAGGAGTTTTTGAAACAAATCAAGTCGTATCTAGTAGTCTAAGTAGACGATTTCATTTCTAAAATCAAACGTGAAAAATTGTAAACAATATCTTCATAATGACTCATGTGATTCAGCACATGGGGACTGGACCAGCTCCTGATAATTACGGCGAGTTCGGCAGGGAAGTAGTTGCACGAATGAGAGAACCTCCTTTCTACTGTGTGGATGATTGCAAAGGAGAAGAATATTTCTATGTAAGTAGTTCCGGCTTTATTAGTCTATTTTGTCGATGAAATGGGCATAAAGATTAGTGCTGTGTTTGAGCCTTTCTGCAACATTCACGCCTACGCCCTTAAAAACTTGCCAAGTCACTGGCTCCATTCTGTCTTACTTTTGTGGAAATTTGTTCCGTTGGACCTGCGAATTGCTTGTGTAATTCTTAATATTGCAAAAATTACCTAGCTAATAAGGTACAATGTCGTACAACAAACAACTTTCACTCTTACATGCAATCAGAGTTTCATTTTCGTGAACCTTACAAGAATGACGAAGAATAGTACTCGGTGAAATCGTTTCATCCAGTCACGATCATGACTACAATGATAGTTGTAGAATGACTGTGACCGTAATCTTCTACTCTCACGATATCCCAAAGCGTTTCGTAATGTTGTGAGTAGGCTTCCTCATATTGAAATTTATCTGAAACCTTACTTCAATGATGCCGAGATATTTGCAAAACTCCGAACCGCAGATGTATGCGGCGGGGAACGAACACGCGCTGTTGTCCTTGCCGGGGAGCAGCGCACTTCACCACCACACCATCCGGGTCCTTCGTTCTGCCTGTCTCTCAACTAGTTCTACCGATCTTTTGCCATCAGCAATAACCCGTCAACGGGAATGATCTAGGGACCCAAATCGGCAACGAACCCAATTAAGCTGAGGCGGCAGTTATAATCACAATTATCTTATATAGATTAGTGCTGTGTTTGAGTGTTTGTTATATAATCTCAAGATCGATAGAACTAGCTGAGAGACAGGCAGAATGAAGGACCCGGATAGCGTGGTGGTGAAGTGCGCTGCTCCCCGGTAAGGACAACAGAGCGTGTTCGTTTCCCACCGCATACACCTGCGGTCCGGAGTTTTACAAATATCTCAGCATTATTGAAGTTATATTTCACAATGTATACCCTGCCGTTAAAAAGAATAGGCTGTAAATAATACGTTACATCATGAAACCTTACTTTCTTGCATTGTTGCTCTTCGTTCAGTGTTATCGTTAAACGTCTTGAAGATAATTTGGAATAAAAATATGTAGATACCAGACAACGGGTGGACAATTTTTTTTGATCTCATGTAGGACATCCATCTTCCGCTTCCATAGGATATCGATGTTCTTTCACTGCTTCGATATCTCGCATAGCGGTGGGTACTATTATTGAATACTGTCTTATTTGCTCTTCTGGTTGTTGCGACTCTTCCGTGTATGTCAGTTGCCTCGTTACAGATTTCTAGTTGGTTCGACCCGCTGCACCAAATGTATTAGTTATTTCAGTGGAATGTGGAATAAGCCGATGCAATAGTTTAGTTAGCCCAACAAAGAATGCTCGCAGTTTTTCATAATTAGAAAAGACGATGTTGGTATTAGAGCACTGATTAGTGCACAATAGCTAACGTTTCGACGGTTTCGCCTTCTTCACAGCTTGGAAAGGCCAAAGTGACAAGCAATCTCCTTAGTCGCACTTGAGTTAGATATAACGTACCACATAATTTTACATTCACATGATAAGCAGTTTTTTTAAATACCCATCGTTTTGTTGTCTGTATACCCTCTGCAGCTGATCTCCAACAGTTAACTGGGACACTTACAACAAACAAGACGGTAGGTTTGAAAGAAAGGCTGTTTATTATACTAATGCAATTTTATGTGTTAACTTGAAATGGCTAAACTTGTTTGGTTGCTAGATTTCTTGTCAGTTTAACCTTTCCAGACACTTAAAAAGGCGAAATCTTCGAAACGTCAGCTATCGTGTAGTAATAAATGCTATAATACTAGCTTCATTTTTTGCTGGTGAAGAAAAACAGGAAATTGCTGATCAATGCCGAGGTTAACAGAAAGTCGATCTAGGGATTTACTACAAAAAGAATGCTCAATTTCTTGCCAATTCCTGTACGGAAGCTCATGGGTTGGCGAATAATGGATCTCAAACATGAGTAATTAAACCTTCATGCATGAACATAACAACATCAAGTTAGTGGTTACCACACTGTACGTCGTGTGTCTGGACACATAAGATGAGCTTTAACGGATCGGACGATACAAGAGAATGGCTAGATACAGTGGAGAATAATCTAGGCTTTAATAAATACCGACCGAATACCGCCTCGATCCCGACACCAGGTCGACTCAAAGCAAACGCCACCGTTGTATCATTGCATTTCATAATATACGTGATCATTCTTGGCGAATATTTTCATGGTTGTGCAGGTGATCACGTGCAAGGTTTTTTAAGCACATTCCAGCTATCTGTGATTACACATTGTACAAAGAGGAATTGGACATTGTGGAACATTATTCAAACAACATGCGAAATAAGGAAGCGCACAGTGGAGTGGTTAAAGGCGGGTCGCAATACAACTCATCATTCAATCGCAAGCGTCGAGCTCACCAAGCCTTTCATCCACCCGGGGTCTGAAAATTGAAACAGGACTTGTCTGAGGCGACAGCGGCATTAACTTTATACGTCGGTAGGCCACTGCAAATTATTTATCAAAGGGATATGGATTCTAGCAGTTTTACGATGCTTGATGAAGTCGTATACGCGGCACATCCCTCAGTAAGTGATTAACGCCGAGAGCTTCATCCTTTCTCTGCCATACGAAAATGTAATATAATTATGGGATAGAGAATATCTCCTGCAAACATTTGCTGAAATTTTTGTTTGAAGAGTGAGCAGAATTCGTCACATTTCTCAAACTTTTCGACAAGCAACCTGTAGTTTCCAATCTAATTTTCATGTGAAAACGAATTTTATTGAGAATGTCCTCGTCATTCACGACTTGTCTTAATCTTCTTACACGAAGAAAATTTTTTCCAGCTTGTGGCTGTATGGAATGCTTGTAAGGTGTCAAAGGGACACCATCTTCTGTTCCTGAGAATATGGTCGATCTCCGCGTTCGATATGCCGTTAAGG